ATAAGATATTTTTAAATAAAATTACATATACTAATAAAACTTGTTAAATATATTTTATAATTTTTTAAAAATTTCATTCATTTAGCATTTTATTTATAAAGGAATTTTAAAAAAAGATAATATAACAAAAATATCTATTTGGTTCAAGGAGAGGGGGGCTCCAATTTGAAAGAAGAGGTTTTGAAAAGAAGGGAAGGGAAAATTTTAAAATTTTTCCTTTCCTTTCTTCTCTTTACCCCAACCAAACATAGGGTGAAAAGGTATCGTTAATAAAACTTTAATTTTATAAAAATATTTTATATTTTAAGACATAAAATTTTTTTTAAAAATGTTTTACAGCGTGGGAGCAGGAGAGTATTTTATTAGTGTGTTAAATTTATGAGACAAGACTAAATGCAAAGATATATGATTATTACAACATGAAAATAAATATTATAAAAAAAACCGACACGGTGAATGAAAACCCTGCGCGCCAAAATTACAATTATTGCCTTTGTGATTACAATTATTGAGTCAAATCATAATGGACTGTTGGACTTGCATTAAAGTACTGAATGCACGAGGGATGCAAACCAAACAAAATATGTTTATTTGCTCTATTGCCATTTGTAATCCAATTCTAACATATCTTATCAAAATAAAAAAAATAAATTTTATTAATTTTATCTTAAAATTTAATATATTTTATTTTTTTTCTCTAATAAAAATTAAAAAATTATTTTTAATAATTTTTTTAACATTTAGCAAAAAGAAAAAAGTAAAAATAAACATAAAAAATACTGACATGACACAACTTCTTGTTCAGTAGCCTTCAATTCGAATATATATATATATATATATATATATATATCAACACATTATCATTTAAAAATAAAAGAAAAACACGCGAGCACGCCCGCGAATAGTGCTGAGACACATAAGTACCTCGTAGATAACAAAATGGTTTGCATCAAGATGGGGCAGTTTTTTCATGATACTAGTAGCTGGTTTATTGTGGTCGATGATGATTCTGGTTCTCTTTATATATAGGAGTGGAGCCATAAATTTTTATTAGAGGCAAAGATAACAAAGTAGATATATATATATATATATATGATAATAAAAATATTATATATATATATATATATCACAAACATAATATGAATATTAATTTCAACATATATATATATATATATATATATTTATATTTAATTTTATGAATACATAATAAAAATAAATATATATCTTCATTCATCAATTTTTCATGACACAGGTTATTAATTATTATGTCTGCGATAAACTTTTTAGTAATACCCTTCTAGATATAAACCATTATTAAATTGATAAAAAAATCATATTTTCTACAAGTATTGAATGATTTAAATGTATTATTGGGATCTAAAATTCTACTCAATTTACAAAACTTTATTACTTACTCATTAAATTTACTATTTAATTCTTTCAATTGATAATTATAATAAATAATTATATCAACATGTTAATGAGATCAAACATAACCTCTTAGCTTTTGAATAGGAAATTTTATAGTAGATTTTGAGCACATAACATTCAATATATGTTAAAGTTTTTGTTGCAATACTCGATAAATTTTGTTAGTAATAATTTTTATAATTTTTTTTATTAAATATAAATTGAAATAGTTTATTTTTTTTAGATATAAAATGAAAGCAAATATGTTGGGATTCTATGATAACAATATATCTCCAAGCTAATGAAATAGTTGTGCTATACATACATAAAAGACTATATATAAAATTAAAATGAAATTTTTATATAATGTCTTGAGGATTCTGTAATGTGCTAATTTAAGAGAGAGATAGTATATAATTTTTATATTTTACTAAAAAAATTAAAAAAATTAGGGGCGCCTGGTCATGACCTACCTTGGTCTCCCCTGTTTATGCGGAATATGATGCACGGAGATGATAAATCTACTATTTAGATAGCTGTTATTATTTACATAAGAATGGGACCGTTGGGATGGTTCTATGAACCCCCATCCCTATTTTTTTATGTGACTTTTAACCTCTTGGAATTTTTACATCAACAGAAGCATTTCTTGCTTCTTAGTTCTATTTCAAGGTTTGAGATGGTTTCGGTGGTGTCATTTCTTTCATTTCTTTGTGCCATTTTGTGTTGACTTTAGGGTTTTTATTTTTGGTTTTTCTCTTATTTGTATGTTTTTCTGTTGTATCTTATTTGTCTTTGTAAATCCTACGTTTTTGAATGATATTTCATGTTTCTATTAAAAAAGGAAAAAGAAAAAGTTGTTCATATTCATGGGAGATCTTTTCATTCCAAAAAAAGCTTATCTCTGTTAATTGAAAATAAAGACAGCTACAATTATGAATCCTTTGATTGACGATTTCGATAATTTAAAATTAATAGTTTTAAAAATATAAATTATTCTATATTATTGTTAAAAATCGATGATTCGAATTAGCTGTAAATAAAATTTTATACAGTATTTCCTGCCACTCGAGTTACTTTTGAATCAAAGTATAACCATGTATATTTTGTAAAGATTGAAGGACAGGCAACTTTTGAAGAAAAAGGAGAAGAATAGAAGAAATGGCTTGTGTCATATCAGGGTGCCTTACATGTTAAGGACTTGACCAGCCAAAATGAAGTTATTCTAGAATATGCTGAAGAATGTAAATAATACTAACATCAATCATATTAATTGCGACTTTCAACTACAAATCGTGCAAGGTCAGGATAAATACTCCACCCTTCACAGGATCAAAATAGTAATGATATTTTTTGGGGAAGATTTGAATTTACGGTTAGGTTTCGGGCCCCAAAAAAGAAAAGCCATGATTATGATTTCTAGAAAGCGTGCCCACGGGTGACGCGCTCATCCACCATTGACCATCCAGCCTTATCGTAGAAAAATTGGCAAAATCTGGCCCCCCCCCCCCCCCCAAAAAAAAGGCAAAATGAAACCAGGATCTCCTTTGACTCATTAATAGACTTGTTTTGATTCATATTATGCTGCAATGGAACTGGGAAATTAAAATACAGCATGTATTAAGGAATCCAAATCCAGTGGCAGACAAGCTAGCAAAGAATTAAAGGGATGTTCTTACTCGTCTTTATTTGAAGTTGCTCCAAAATTCTTAAGGAGATCAGTCTCTTCTCTTCCAATAGATTGGGATTTCAATTCCCTTCCGTGTAATTTCTTTTTAATGTAATAGAAGTAACCCTCTTCTTTATTGAAAAAAAAGAATTTTTTTAAAGTGATATATAAAATATTAAGAATGAAACAGTCAATGCACATTTTTAAAACTTCAAACTTCAAACTTAAAATTGCATGTTGATTGGCTTGCCAAACAAAGTATCAAGTAGATTGATAATAGCATGCTCGTGAACTACAGTTTACTAAAATCATTCTTTGAAAGCATTTCTATGTTGTTCAAAAACTTCAAGAAATGTTTTATTTTTTGAATTATAAGGCCATGATAAAACTGTGTAAAAAAATTAAGATCTAGTGATATCTAAAACTATGAGGTTTCTATATTCATGCGGTAGTTCATTAAAAATCATAATATTACAGGTATCATGCGGAGGCCAAAGGGCTAAAAGATCAATATATCTGTTATATTCTCTATGAACATTGTCAAATGTGACTATCCAATGTCTTACAGCAAGATCTCTGATCTTCTTGATAGTGTCAGAATAAGGGTGACTCTTACGGTAGGTACGGTTAATGAGTGACAACGCCTCCATCGAATTAGAGTAAAAATTAATTCTTGGTACACATCCCAACAAAATTTAAGTCCCTTGAATATTCTTATGAGTTCTATTGCTGTGATAGGTTGATATCCAAAAAACTTGAAAAATTCTTTAATTTAATTATCCTTATCATTTTTGATGATGCCTTCATAAGCTGCAGCACTATTAGTATTGACAAAATCATCAGTGTCAAGTCCAACCCATCCGTATTTAGGTGGGCCCATTTTCCTTCATTTGTGGAGTTGCTTTTGCCCAAGCGGTTAATCTTGGATAGAAGCTTCAAATCATTATTTATTTGTTGAGTGCTAGAAAAGGTAATATCGCTATTAAAAATGTCATCTGTCGAGTATAATATTTTGCATCTAATTTTTTAAATATTCCAACAAGCTTGTGCCTTGGCAAATGAGAAGAGTTTAAAATTGTATTAGTACCTATATGCAGCTCGGGGTGAGACGTGTTTTTCGAGAAAGCGACATACGTGCTGATTGGCTTGCAAATTTTAGTATTAAGCAAGGCCAGAAATGCAATGTTTGTTTGGAATCTCTTCATGAGCTCTAAAACTGTTTGTATCGAGACATTTTGGTGGTCTGTGTCCCTCGTTTTTCATCTAGTACAATAATATAGTTTTTTTTCATAAAAAAATTAATGCATGATCTAGTTTAATATTTTTTTAGTATATATCTACTCCCTTATTGACTAATTGGTAACATTTATTGGATCTATTAACAATAAAAAATTTCATAAAGACACTTTCTCAAATGGCATCAAAGCGTCAGATTTTAATTTGGTGAACATAATAAAGATACAATTTTCTTTTACTTTTTTAACTTTATTATTTGAAAATCTAACGAAAAGGAAATATCCTAAAATGGACCCCCCCCTCTGACACATACATGAAGTTAGCGATTGTTTTACGGTGTGTTTGGTAGAACAAGGTGGAAGGGATAGAATGGGAGAAAGGGGAAATGAAAGGAGAAGAATTCTAATTATCTCTTATTTGATTCAAGAGGAAGAGGAAGAAGGGGTAGCTAGTAATTAAATTGACCATTAAACCCTTATCAAATTTAAATTGTTTCCTACTTTTACTTTGCTTTTGTTTAAAAAATAGTTATATTCTAATATGTTAATTTATACATATGACATGTTATACAATCTCATTTTGTCGAGCCTCTATTGCAATTTTGAATTATGTAAATTAAATTTTAACAATATAAATTAATTTACGTTTTTAAAGGTCATTAAATTCATTTCAATGGTTTACCATATACAATGAACTGTCTAGTTAATAAATACAAGCCATCCATGACTAATACAAAGCACCTCAAAACTCAAATGAAGGGATAAGTAAAATAAAAATGAAAAAAAAAAGGAAGACAAAATTACAGATTCAGTTGGTAAAAACTGAGAAGCAGATGAAGATGCTAGGTTTAAACTCTAAACAACAATAAAGTCAGAAACGGAGTTGGGCATGGAAGGTCCTATGCTTAATAATCCCTCTATAAAGTGCTGCCCTATTGGGAGGCATTACGTCCTCTAATTTACGACCCTTCTCCTCCTCTTTCACCTCCGCTGCAACTTCTATCACTTTCTCTGCGAACCGCACCTTCTTCTTCTTCCCTTGTCCCTTCTCACAATTACCTTATATTCACAAACCTCACCACATTTTACCCAGAAATAAAATCCATATATATATATATATATATATATTTCGGGAAAGATAAATAAACTTGGAAAGGCAAAAAAGAAAAGAAAATTGTACCAGAGATTTGGAACTCCAACTTCCTCATGAAGTCAGACAGCAAGCGCTTTTGGAGGTGGTGAACCAAGAAAGCTATGCTTCCTGATACGGCAAAGACGGCCACCACTCCATACCTGCTGGGGCTCTCCATCATCATCATCATCGTCTCCGCTCTGCTGTTGGATTTTAAGGTCTCTGGACGTATTTGGATTACAGAGGGAGAAGCCAAATACTAGGCTTGTTCGAGAAAGAAAAAGGGCATGGAGAGAGGCATGAATTGGAAACTTAAAGACGAAGACAGGGGGAGAAGAATCATTGTTATTTCCGCGGTAGAAGAGGGAGGGAAGAAAATTATGAGACAAGAAAAAAAGTGAGTTTGGTTGTTGAAGTCTCTGTAGTTTATATATACATATATATATATATATATATACATGGAACGTGTGGAAACGGAATTAGGCTCTTTCTTTGTAAGGCAAACGGTCGCTTTTGTTTACCTATTTTATTTAACACGCTCAAAATTCTAACCTCAGGCATTGACACTAATTGGTTGGAGAAGACCTCAAATAGTGAATCTTCCTTTTTTTGGGGCCCCACTAAACGGCGACTCAATTTTTATGTGTCCAATATTTCTGTGTTCTGAATCTTTTACTTGTGTCTGTCTCTGGTTTATCCATGTCTTGGATACTATATGACCCACCCATTATATGAATCCCCCTATCCTTTGTGCCCCCACATTCGGGTTTTTATTTAGCTTCCCGAAAATAACATAACTGCAAAAGCACATAATTTTTTTTTTCTAAACATGGTGCCTTTTTTTTTTCTTTTTTTGGTAATCAGGAATTCAGTTTTGCTATTTATTCTTGAGGTCATCTTCCACGGCCCGTGTTACTCTTAGCAATATCTCAGTAAGGAAAAGGCTATGATATTAAATTATTAATTTTGAGCATAATTGTCAACAGAGGGTCCATAGCTCAGTGGTAGAGCATTTGACTGCAGATCAAGAGGTCACCGGTTCGAACCCGGTTGGGCCCTCTTATATGATCCTTTTTTTTTCATTTAACCAGTCTATTATTTTTCATTCTTCCTCCCGTTCCATAGGGAACCTTATTCTGATTGACAAACTTTTCAAGAATTGATATTCAAACATATAGTTATAATTATAACAAGTACTTGAAAGGAAGTTTTCTGTTAAGCCTGTTTGGGTCGGAAAGCAAGCCAGATAATTGAGGTTGTGCTGTTCGACGTTCAGCTGAAAGTAATCGGTTTTTGCATATGTTTGGCGTTCCCTGTATTTTGCTAATGATAAGAAGGTTGGATGCTGTTGAAGAGCCTCCCTTCCTAGTCCATCTATCAAATATACTAATTGTCCAATAAAATAGAGCATACGATCCATTGATTTCTCGGCCGAAAAATAAGTCAATTCTTAAAATTCCCTTCTATTCTAACACCCCCACACACGCAAAATTACACAAGCGCATGCTATTATTAATTTCAGCTTTTTTTTTTTTTTTAAAGGAAAACCAGTAACTTTAGGTCTGTTAGCTGTGGAAGATTTTAGACTAAGGAGAGTCGGAAAGAAAATTTTGCTTGGTGTGGGGTGGAAAGTAGAATGGGAGGGGAATAAATCTGATGCTCTATTTGTTTGGGTACATTTTTATGTGCATATCTTTCTTCATTATTAACACAGCATACATATTTTTCCCCATCTTCTATGCCCCCTTATTTTCCCCCCATTATTCGCATCTCCTTTTTATCAGTTAAAAAAACATATTACAAAATAAGGAATGCACTAGCGCATGCAAAGCCAATTTTCCAAAAAATGCCATGGTTAAATTAGCTTTCTAGACACAAGCCACCGGCAGTTTTCACTGTAGCAGTGACAAAAGAGCTTCGGAATCTAGAACTGCCATTATCTCAGCTCATTTTTCAAGTTGATCCAAAATTAAACTTAAAAATGATGTTACTTGAATCTCAGCTCATTTTAAATCCCATATTCCATTATTCAAATACACATTCCAAAACAAACGTCACATCTGAATTGCTTTTATTCTTTTTTTGACATACCAAGCGTACTATTTTAAAGTCCAGTTTCATTCCTTTTCTTGTTTTTATTTATAATTGCATTTCCTTTTCAGTTCCGCCAAGCAGGGCCTTGGTGGTTTGTACATTCAATGAATTAAGCAAACAACAAACCCCCTCTCCCCAAGAGAAAAAAAGGGTGAAAAGTGAAAACAGAGACTGGATTACTGCCAGCCTGAAGATCATACTTAAATCATCTATAATAAAGTCGGACAATTTCCCTTATGATAGTTTTTCAATTCCTCCTTTACCTTGCGATCTCACTCTTTGATTAATATAAATTGTCTTATTATTAAAAAAAAAGTGGGACAAAGGTTATCAAAATCATGTTGTGAGCAAGAGAATCAATCCTCGGCCAAAAAAAAAAAAAGCAAGAGACGAAATCCGGAGCTTCAAAGTATAATTACATATAATAAAAGACATCTTCACATGATCGATCTTGATACAGTTAATATTCAGAAATTAGTGGCATATCGAAGCAGATTTATTGCAGAACGAATCACAAGATACTCTAGAACTTAGAATTATGCCTCAGGAACCTGCTAAAGCAATTAAGCACCTTTCCCTGCTGGCTGTTCCAACCATGTCTGATGCACATGCACCCAGCTGAACTGGCCCGAATCCTGAAAGTCATATTCACTCTTCTCAGTAAACAAAAAAGGGACCTCATTAAAATTATTTAATGCATTTAATTGGGCTGAAAATTTGTTTGATGAATTAAACTTCACTGATCAACCTTTTTCCTTAGTATGACAGAATTCACACATCCTTGCAGCATCTCACCTACAAGGACAGCAAATTAGTAGTGGAAGGCAATATACACAAATAAAGTTTAACCCTAGGCTTCAAGGGAGATTTTCTAACAATCTTACAGATGTCCAGCCACAGTTCCACATAAATCGACTGTTGCACATAGTAAGGAGTCACAGCGCGCTTACATAACATGCTATGGCTTTTTCTTTCGGAGATAACGAGCAGAAGGAACTAAAGACCATGGTAGTCTAGTAATGTGAGAGGAGGAAAAAATTCTCACCACATGACTCCCACACATCAAACTTCACCAGCCAAGCATCTGAACTAAGCTGAGTAGCCAACACCCCGTCCACCCAAATCCTATATTGTTTTCCCTGCTTGTCCCCATAGGAATCTCTGAGAAATTTTACAAGCACCCCAATTTGATGTTCAGAACCAGAGGGATGAATAAAAGTGCCAGACGGATCCTGCATATTTGAAGAGAATGGTTGAGATAGATTTTAAGATGAATACTAAATAGTGTTCCATCATAACTCTCATAAGTAAATTAGTGTAAAATTGTAAAATGAAAGATATTAGAGATGTAAATAGAATGGACAAGATGCGATACAGTGTCCCGGGGACATGGAAGAGCAATAGCTATGCTTACTCAACCAAAACCAAATTATCATAATATTAGACAAACTCCTGGGGTCCAAAGATAGCAGACATACATAAACTGCTTCTAAACCTGCAAGGAACTGCTCAGACTTCTCAACTTCAGCACGTCTCCACTTTTCACTCAACAAATTAATTTTTACGATTTCATGTCCTGGAGATGCATTTTCAACATCTTTTGCAACGTCTGAAACATCTCTTGGAGTCTGGTTTGTGCCTAACTTAAAGTGACCAATGGCTTGTATAATCCCAGATGCACATCGCTCTGTGGCATGGATAATTTTGGGGTTGTCTTTGACATTTTTGGCATACCACTGCAATAACTCTTCTTGGGCATTGCTCACCTACATGATGAATGAAAATGGACTAAGTTAGCAAAAGATATTGTCACTGATAAATCCAAACCAACATTATTAGGAAAATTATGGCAACAAGCAAATTGAACCACCAACCATGACACCATAGACTCCTGGAATGCTGAATAACTCGGCATCATTTCCAGAGTCACCACAGACAAGTGTGTCAATGGGGCGCTTTCCCTCAGTCTCAAATTTTTTTAGCAGATATGCAAGAGCTTGACCTTTGCCAGCACCTTGTGGTAATATGTCCAAATCAATTCCTCCACTATATATAATTTTAACATCCAACTGCCAAAATGTGAAGTGCAATCACAAAACTATCTAATTTATTATATCAGAAAAACCAATTGTCAGTTTACTGCTGACAAGATGCACACAAAAATTAGTTGATAAGAAATGAGGATTCCTGTACTGGTGAAGACAACAATTACAAGAAAGGAAATATATCTTTACCCCACGCTTTTGCAATGTCTCAGAAAGAGCTTCTATCACATTTTGAGCCTTATCTTTTTTGATATAAAAACTTACTTTGTGGGGTCGCTGCTCTGATTCTGCCTGCAATACAGGACCTCCATTAATTATCAATTCATTTAATGATTCCATGCAAAGCGATTTTGTAGGGGAATCTAACAATTCATACTAGATATCAACAGCTGAACCACAAACAACAACCAATCAATCACACTGTGACTAACTATAAATTATACCTGACAAGTAAGTTCAGAAAATTTGCTTGCTTCCTTAATGACAATATTCCTGTCCCATTTCTGATTCAAAAATTCTTCCCACCCAACATCTGGCACCATTGATTTACCATAAGTTATCTCAGTTCCCACTGACATTATGGTTATATCAGGAGTTATCATGGGTTTCTCCTTCCTCAATTTTTTGTAAAGTGTAGGTGACCTTCCAGTTGAGAAAACTAGCAGAGAATCGTGACGATGGTAGGCTTCCCAGAGGGCATTAAAGCGGAGGAGGGAAAGGTTCTCAGCATCATGGTGATCAACCTACAAGCAGAACATATTCTCCAAAGAAATCATCATCTTCAAAACATAATAAAGCATCAAAGCTGCAAAGACAAACAAATATGAAACATACCATTGTGTGATCAAGATCTGAGACAATCATGAGACGAGCAGGAGATTTTAGCCTATCCATGTTGTCAATCAATCCCCGATTTAATCCTGTAAGCACACAATGCTTCAGTATTCATCTGAAAGTAAGCAAGCACCAAAAATTGCGAAAAAACAACAAAGTAACTTCATTCAAGATTGTATAGGCATCTTATTTTGCATAGACACATGCCTAAACTTTGCTATCCCCCTATTTTATATGTAACTTCGACTCTGGCATGGCAGAAGCACCAGATATCAGAAAATGGTAACAAATATCTTTCTTTTCCGTTTTGAATTAGAGAAGGATAATGAGTTATGAGGTTTTCTTTCTTTCTTTTTCCGAGCAAAAAAGATAATTTATCTGATAATCTTTATATCCTGATAGTAGACAAAAGAGAATGTTGAATATTTAGAGTAGAAAATTGCATGTTCATCTATATTAGAAAACATTGCCAGAACTTTCTTTAGAAGCAAAAATAGCAAAACCCTTAACATTTCCAAAACTAATAAAAAGTTCTATCACCAATGTAACATTTCGAAGGTAGTTTAAAAACATAAGCGTTGCGAAGACACTAACAATCTACGAGGAACCCATATCTATTACGGAAAATGAATCTCGTAAACCGCATCGACTCCGGTAAATCCTATAACTAAATTCGTTAACCTTGTAACTAAAGGGGCCTTCTAATTGTCCAAAAAAGAGGAAGTTATCCACTTTCGGAAGCCAAATTCACTTCTAGGACCTCCCATTCTACCTAGGTGCCGATAGAGAGAAACTGATAACAAAATAAATTGCCAAACTAGGGGAAGCGATCGAACTCAAATTCCAAATTCTACAGCAAATCGACAAGAATGCCATGAATTGAATCACAAAACAGAAGAGAATGGTGTTTGCAGGGAAATAAGTGGGGCTAGGATTACCTGCAAGTGTTTTAGATATTTGAGAAGACAAGAAGGATTGGGAGAAGGTAATTGAGATGCGGAAGATGAATGGAATGGGTAGAGATCAACCGAGAACGAAGAATCGGATCGAAATTCGTTGGCGCTTCTTTCATGGGAGAAGAGACGAGCACACATAAGCATAAAAAATACTCTCTTCAATAAAAAAATATAAAATATTTTTTAAATAATTAAATATTTAAACATATAAATATTTTTAATCTTTTAAAATATAATTATTATTTTTTAAAATTAATTTTATTAATAATGACTTTATATTTATTATAAAGTATTCAATAAAAATAAATATGAAAAGATAGAATTAATTAAAAAATGGGTAACTATTTTATTGGGAGTAAAATTTGGTTAAAAATTTATTATATTTTTAAACGGAAGGAGTATTAAATAAGTAAAAAGTAATATAAAATATAGAGAAAATTACATTAAAATCTCACACACACAAAAATAATTACGATAAAATTTATTGACAATTAAATTAAAAATATTAGAGATAATTATATTGAAATCTCATGCCAGAAAATTAATTATGGTAAAATTTATTGACAACTGAACTAAACTGCACAATTTAGTTCAGTTGTCAATGAACCTTATAGTAATAAATTTTTTTATATGAAATCTAATTATAATTCTTCTTATAATATATTCAAGCCAAAATTAAGTGTTTGGTTGCATGAGAGGGGGAGGCGAAGTGAGGGATTTTAATAAAGGGAGGGAGATGTTTCAATGTAACCTTGTTTGGTTTAGGACTGTGCAATTTACCCGATAACCTGTTTACCCGCTCATACCCGCCCGACCAGTATTTAAACGGGTCAACCCGTACCCGCTATTTGAGAAAAATAAATGGGTATGGGCAGGTATATACCCGTATATCAATAAACGGGCAGGTGACAGGTAAGGCTACGGGTGGCCCGTACTCGCCCATTTATATTTTTAAAAAAACATTTGTTGCCACTGGATCACTGGAGTCTGGACTGAGATTGGGATGCATCTTCTGGGCATCTAGCTTCTGGTTTCAAACTTTTAGACTCTGCAGACCGTTTGGGCCCATGCATTTAGTTCCATTCCAAACCTGCTACAGCGCTACCCATAAGGCCGTGAGTCTGTGACGTCTGATGTGAACCAGCTCTATTTTAGCTCAACTCTATTTTAGTTAGCCGTGAGTTCGTGACCCGTGACGCATTGTTGATGCCTTCCATGTGTGTGTCGGTGTGTCAGATAGTGAGTCTCAGCTGTGCGTGTGCCTTAAACAGGTCCTGACTCTTGAGTAGTGTGTTAAGTGCCGACAGCCGATTACAGAGCTGTAATCTTGTGAGCTGATCATCCTCTCGTCCTTGGTAGACTGCCACTGTGCTTCTCATCCTCTGATTTTTCATTTTCCTTCACCAATAGCCACGCCAGGTCGCCAGCCATAACCAGTCGCCCTTCTGCCCAGCTTCTTTCAGACAAATCAATCGTCTCCCCTCCTTTGTTAGTGACTTCACATCTGTCGATGAGTTTGATGGGCTAATGGCTCATAATCTCAAGTTTAAAATTTTAAGTTTTCTTCGTTCTAACAAGCTTCGTTGCTTCGGTGCTTCCTTTTCAGTTTTCATAGCCAGTCGAGTAAAGCTTGCTCGGGATTTCAACTTCTCTGAGCAGCATTCTTATTTGTTCGGGATTTCACTTCACGGCTTCAGTTTTACTGAATCACTGTACAACACTACAGCGTTCAGCTAATCAGCTATTCACCATTTTACATTCACTGATTTTATTTTCTCCTCTTTGGTTATATTTGTGCATTCTCGTCCTCTTCTTCGGCTCTCCAGTTATAATCTGTCGGTAATTTGGTCTGAACTTCTGGGTGAATGATACACTGATCATATTGAATTTTAGTTTGAACTCTCTGGACTCTGCCACTTTGGTTATATTATGTTGATAATTTGATTTGAACTCTTGATTCGACTCTCTGGTTCAACTCTGTGGTTATATTGAATTTTAAATTTATATGCATGTTTGAGTGTTTGGAAGATTCATGATTCTTTAGTTAATTAATCATATTTTTAAATTTTTCTGGCTGAGTGTTGTTGGTTTGGTATTCTACTATGTCTATAATTCTCACTGATAGCAAACAAAGGTTACAGAGCTATATATTTTAAGAAAATTCTTAGATAAATTTAGTCTATTAAAAATTCATAAAACTTCTACATTTGCTTTAATTTACTATTGGTGGCATATTTTTTTTAATGTTAAAGTTTGTCCTTTTTATTATTTTGATTTAGAGACTCTTTAGTCTTTCCCACAAGACATTGTTCATTTCCTAAGGCTTGTTGGTATTTGGTAATTGTATTTGTATTGTGTGTGATTGTTAATGTGATATACCTAACATTAAATATGTCTATGATTGTGGTTTTTTTTGGTTGTTATATAGTTTTTACTTTAAAATTCACTATGGAAAATGTGCAAGCTATGGGAGGGGACCATGAACCTAAAACACCATCACAGCACCCATTGAGTCTAAACCTACCTAAGCTGAAAAAGCACCATCCTCCAAACGTAAAAGGAGCACAACATTTGAAATGTGGAATCATTTTGAAAAGTTTATAAACAAAAAAGGTGAGCATTGAGCCAAATGCAACTATTGTGGAAAGGATTTTGCTGGCCATTCTTTTAAAACTAGGACTAAGAACCTTTGGCGGCATTTTGATTCTTGCCTAAAGAATCCAAATAAAGCTAAGGCGGGACAGTCCTTATTCTCTACTTCATTTGATAAATCAATGACTCATCACCCGTATAATGCATAACAGTGCAAAAAAGCAGTTGCTGAATTCATTATTTTGGATGAGATGCCATTTTGAGTTGGGAAGGGCAAGGTTTTAAAAAAATATTGGAAGTGTTTGAATCGAGATTTACATGCCCCTCTCGTACCACTATGGCTAAGTTCTGCTACAAGATATATTTATAAGAAGCGAAACGTTTGAAAAAGTATTTTAAGAAATCTAAAGTTTGTGTGTCACTCACTACAGATTGTTGGACTTCAATTCAAAATTCCAACTACATGTCTTTGACAGCTCATTGGATTGATAAGGAATGGACATAATAAAAACAAATTTTGAATTTTTGTATGGTGGAAAACCATAAAGGGGATACAATTGGCAATGAAATTGAGGGATGCTTATTCTATTGGAGTATTGAGAAAGTATTTGCAATTACAGTTGATAATGCTTCTTCTAATGATTCTGCTATTGTGTTTTTAAAAAAGCGTTTGAAGGATTTAGGAGGTTTAATGTGTGATGGAGAATTCTTGCAAATGCGGTGTGCTGCTCATATTTTGAATTTAATTGTTTCAGAAGGCCTTAAAGATATGAATCAATCTATTGAACTTATTCGGCATGCAATCAAGTTTGTTAGATCTTCTCCTGGTAGGCTTAAAAAATTTAAGGAGCTTGTTGAAAATTTGAGAATTGATTTAAAGAGTCTTCTTAACATGGATTGTCCCACTAGATAATTTACATAATTGTTAAATTATGATTGTTTGCATTATGATATGCAATTTTTTTTCTAACATTTAAATCTTTTGCTTATCTTAATAAGTAGAATTCCACATACATCATGTTGTAAAATGCTGTTAAGTTCACTAAGGTCTTTGATAGAATGGAAGATGAGGATCAAGATTACAAGAACTTCTTCAAAAAGGAAGTTAAACTATCTTCCAGCTTAACCTGTGTTGATAGGATGGAAGAGGAGGATGAAGATGAACTTGGCGATCATGATAGTGATGAAGGTACAGTTAAACCTCCTAATGTTTATGATTGGAGTATGGCAAAGGAATTTCTCACCTTTTTAGAGTTGTTTTATACTATGACTCTTCAATTTTCTAGATCAAATTATGTCACATTAAACATATGCTTTCAAAATATAGTTGCAATCAATACACGATTGGATTCAATTGCAGCTGAATTTAATTCTTTGTTGAGTGACATGGCAGAAAGGATGTAAAGTAAGTATGACAAGTGCTGGGAAAAGGCAGAAAACATGAATCCATTGTTAGTGACAGATGTGATTCTTGATCCTAGATATAAATTTTCTTATATTAAAGTTGCTTTTAAACATTTTATTGGTGATTACACGAAGAGGGAAATGATGAAAAAGAAGATTATAGGGCTTTTGCATCGCTTGTTTGATGAGTACTCTTCAACTCTTACAGCCAGTGGTAGTGAACCATCTGAAATTGGTACAGAGGTGGGGGATAGCAGTGCCAGTGGTGGGGGAAAGTAAGTTCTTCCATCTTCTAAAAAAATTATTGATGTGGCAATGCAAGATTTCTTAGCCACTGCAATGAATAAGCATCCAAAGAAACCAATTTCAAAAGTAGAAGAGTACCTAAATGCAAATTTAGTTGATGCTTGTGATGATAGTTTTGACATTTTGGCATGGTAGAAAGTGAATTCTTCCAAGTATAAAGTTCTGGGCTTGATTGCGGGTGATTTGTTGGCTATGCCTGTCTCCACAATGTCTTCAGAATCTGTTTTTAGTATCGGAGGTCGAGTGCTAGATACTTTCAAGAGTTCCTTATCTTCAAAAATGGCCGAGGCACTCATTTGCACCCAGAATTGGCTATCATCAACATCATGCACCTCATTGGAAGAGATTGATATTGACTATTTTGATGAGACTTTACGTGCTGTTGATGGTAATAATAATATGAATAAATTATTTTATTTATATTCATTTTAATTCTCCATATTATATAATATTTATTATTATTATTTACTAATCTAATTGTCTTAATTTGTCTTGTAAAGGAAGAGTCAATAGCTTAATCTTTTGCCATATTAAGTGACTTTGAAGAAAATAAATGAGGACCAATGAGACTAAATGGGTTTTCACTTTAAGAATTAGAAATATTGATCCATATTTATTTAGTATTTGTTGTTAAAGTATTTGTCCTTGTATTATTTAGAAATTTAAACTTTTAGAATGATGCTACTTAAATACTTATATTAAGTTATAGTGAGGTGAAAATCATATGTTTTGAACTTTTAATTCTTTCTTTTTTTTAAGAAAATGGGTATTATGGGTAAACGGGTGGCCCATACCCGCCCAAACCCATTTACACC